GAGAAATCAGCGTTGAAGTGATCGGTCGCAGACGACATTGTGAGCAGCTGCGCGGAGGAATGGAGATTCCATGCCAGTTAGACTTTAACTGCTCAAACAAATTGCCAATGAAATGCTTGAAAGAACTTATGTCGCATCTATTTCACCACGTAGGAATCGTGCCTCATTGCTGACCCATAGAGAGAACTCAGTGTAGCCCTATAGTGGGGCATTCTAAAGGGAGGAGATATAGACTCTACTCCTCTCAGGAAGTTGAGGTTCACTTTTTCTTATTAACCTTGTTTCTGGCATGTTTTGCCACGAGTTCCCTTAAGACTATAGACTATACCTAAAGCACACGAGCGGTTACCCAGGAAAAGGGTTAAATCGCATTCAAAGATCAGACAATTTTTCATTTTTTTTTTTAAATAAACAAATTACGACATCTGAAAAATACCTCTTCAAAGCAGAGAAGTCGTTGCTAGCGGAGATGGAATAGTTTGCACCGAGCCATCGATCTCTGGAATGATAAAACAAGTTATATGAAAAACATGAGGAAATCCCTGGATCAAGTAATAATTTGTTTAAGAAAAATCGAAAGGTTTTTGAGCTGCAACTTTTTTTTGGATGTCGAAACAACCTTTCACCATACATTTCTTTCTAGCGAGTTGCATTGTGTGACTCGTGGTGATTCCAAAAATCTTTGCGCAAACACAAGGATCCGATTACTGGTAACTCATTCATTAGACCTTGAACGACCGTGCCATATTAACCCTTTCAAATCCTATTTCGAATGAATCCTATTAAAAGCACTGCTATCTATATACCTACATTGCATATACTTCTTCATTTTCTTCAGTCGCTGCTATAAATTTCTGAAATAAAAAGTCAAACCTCAACCAGTTTGAGTCAGCCTGGAGAATAGCAATATCATTTCATCATTCAGCTTAGTATCAGTGTTCTTTTCCAAAAAGCGATAAAAGCGGTAGCGGTGTATCGGCTTATGCATCTTGTTGTTGTGTTTCGTTTTCGATCACCCTCGGCCGCTGTAAAATACATGAATTATTGAATCTAGAAATGGTCGACTGTAAAGAACCTGTGATGAACATAATAGTTATGTACTGGAGCACGAAACAATGAATATTGTGTTAACAGGGGAAAAAAGCGAAAGCTATATATTTGATTAATTACCAATCAATACAGAGACGTTTGCTAAATTATTACAACTCAGTTTCATCAGCTGGTTGACAGGAAGTTAACCATCATACTGTTATCTATCATATTACTTTACTATCTGACATTTTTCTTCACCACGCTATAACTGATACCCAGTATACGGTTTGCAGACTGCATATTATACCCAGTCTACAGTTATACTTTTGAATACATTTAAAAAAAACTACCAATGAATCATCTCAAAGTCTCATTATTTGGGCGTAATGGTCCGTATTCAGTCACAAATAGCCGTCGAGGCGCTAAAGATCATACGTAAGATTTTAAAAAATAGGTTTAAAGAACAACTTTAAAACCATGTTTAACCCTTTAACTCCCAGAAGTGATTAACATGAAACTTCTCTCTATAATATCCACACATTATCCAGCAAACAGGTTATGAGAATACTCAAACTTATCAGGTAGAAATTGTTATCTTGATCTAACAACAAATTCTTATAACTAATTTACAAGGAAATGTGTAGCAGCTAAAGAAGAGAATTAACATCAAGATCTTGGGAGTTTTAGGGTTAATTATACTTGAATCACGTTCGGCAACATGCTAACGGTGAATCTGACTAACAAACTAATGGAAGATGGTCGTGGCGATCAGACACCTATCTGAAATACTTCCGACAAACCGACACTAATGAAAAATGGATAAAGATCCTTTGACCGAGGATCTCTAAACAAAGCCTAGTGTATATCTCTGTTTTCGATAGATTAGAGAGGACGCGAAATCACAGTTGACGCTCGACTTTTCGCTGATGCTTGTTATAATTCGGGATGGTAAGCTATCTTATCTACCTAGCACATTGACGTCTTCTATATTGCACTGGAAAAAGTTCTGCTAGCCCCGATCGATAACATCAACAACTTAACAAAAATTTTCTGTACATAAAAATTGCAAAGCTATAAATGATAATCAGACTTGTTTTAAACCTTAGTGTGGGCCAAAACCACTGTTATCATGTTGTAGTAACGAAAAGTCGCCAACTTTATTTAACACGGGTATAGTTTGAGGAAGTTTTAAATATCTTTACTTTATCATCACCTAATGTCTGGAACACCTACACTATTCTTCTCGCCTAGCTTGCAAAGGATTTAGACATTTAACAGCTAATTTTCATTCTTAATAACCTATTTTAAACTGAAGATAATTTGTCTCTCTTAGCCGAAAAGTCCTTAAAGTCCTTGACTGACTCGATAATTGGAATGGTCATGAAAAGGCAACAACACGCAAATCTAAGCTGGTTCAACTTTGATTTAAGTTCGGCAGATGAAACGTTCACCATCTCAAAAGCAAGTCTTATACAAGAAAGCATATTTGCACTGAGCCAAGAAAAAGCCAGTTTACACAGGCCATTTTAGATCGAAGGTTGTTATGTTTCATTTCAAAACCAATCTTACATTGGTCGTTCGAGTTCATCAACGATGTCTTCCATACTTGGTCTTACATCAGCATCTTGTTGCAGGCATCCCCGAATGAGAGCTCGAAGCACGCCATTCGTCACCCTGGCAACTTGTTCGTCGCGCCTGTCAGGATCCGGTAGTTCCCGGATGCAAATCTCACAGAGGAGAACTCCAAAACTGTACACATCAACCTGTGCTCGAAAAGAGAATAACAATGAAAAGTTGAAAATGCATGAACGTGCCAGCTAGTTTAAATTGCTATATTTTTATTTATCTTTTCCTTCCTCTTTCTTTTTTTTTCTTTTTTTGTTTTAGCAGTCTGCTTACGTCAGAGGAATGTTGTCTCATTGCTATCCAAGCATCTCACTCATTTTAGCTCGGTGAAGGGAGAGAAATAGGTTCGACTTCTCTCAGCTGGTTCAAGTTAAGTTTTTCATGATCTTTCCGGGGACATATTCCCTACAGACTGATATTGCGTAAAACACCCGACCAGTTTACCAAGGACAAATGTTCAACTATAGTCAGTCAGTCCCGAGCCCTTCACAGACTGATTTTCAGTCTTATCATGAATAAACTTCATAGCAATCACAATCAAACAACTGAGAAATAGAACTCCAATATTCAAATTTCAGACATACCTTGACGGTTTGATGTTTAGTATGCGCTTCAGGTGCACTGTATATCAAAGCACCTGGACCAACTGTCATGGTCTGCTGCAAAACATTAGCCGTGCCATAATCTGACACTTTGCCTCGCCATTGGTCAGCTTGCCGCCACAATAACACATTGGCACTGCTGATGTCGCGGTGAATGATGGGGGATGGTTTCTTTAGGTGAAGGTAGTTTAATGCTCGAGCCACATCTAGAGAAATGACAGACACTTCAAGTGAAGAAAGAGGCCGCTGTTCTAACAGTGCTCGTAAACTAGATTCCATGAGCTCTGTTACAAACAAAGGACTTCCTTCATCGTTTGTTGCCCCAATGAATTGCAGCAGACAAGGATGGCGGCATCTGGCGGCAATGCTCATCTCTCGCTCAAACAATCTACGGTTGTGATCAGAAAGTATCAACTCGTACATCTGTTTGACGGCGACAGCACAGTCACAGTATTTGCCTTCGAGAACACTTCCCCAGCCTCCCTTTCCAAGGCATTTGTCCGTCAGCTGAATCTGATCGCGTGGAATGACCCAATCAGGAGTCTGATGGCGTGAACGTTCATTTAACGCCCTTTGGGCTGCTGAAAGAGACGTCTCCAGCTCATCTATCTCTTGCTGTTTGGCCCTCAGCAGTCTTTCCAACGAAGTAAATTCTTCATTTTTTTCGTGTAATTGCCCTCGGACACCTGTTAACTGCTTTGTTATCTCAGCAACTTGTCCATCTCTGTTTCTTAGTTGTCCATTTCTTTCTTGTAGCTGCCTCCGAACATCTGTCAACCCATTTCTCATCTCCCTCAGTTGTCTATCTCTCTCTCTTAGCTGGCGATCTTTTTCTGTTAGTTGTCCATCTCTCTCTTGTAGTTGCCCTTCGACGTTTTTCAACTGCTGTGTCTTCTCCCTCAGTTGTCCATCCTTCTCTTGTAGTTGCCCTTGAGTATTTGTCAATTGCTGCGTCTTCTCCCTCAGTTGTTCATCTTTCTCTCTTAGTTGGCGATCTTTTTCTGTTAGTTGTCCATCTCTCTCTTGTATCTGACCTTGAGCATTTGTCAACTGTTGTGTCATCTCCCTCAGTTCTTCATCTCTGGTTCTTGGTTGCTCTTGAACGTTTTCCAGCTGCTGTATCAACTCCCTAAATAGTCCTTAGATAATGAAAATAGTACAAGAAATTTTCTTGCTTATCTCACAGAGCGTGAACCTAAAAGCCAAAACATATTCCTCTTTCTCTCTCTCTCTGTCTGTCTGTCTGTCTCTCTCTCTCTCTCTCTCTCTCTCTCTCTCTGAGTAAGTTTTATATCAAACGACGTTCAAACTTTGGAACTGAATCATTTTGGACTACATTTTAGATTACTCCATTCCAGATTACTTGGCGCCCAGCCTGTTATCTATGTAAAATATACTTGTAATATATTCAGTTCTCCTCCGTTACCGAATATTTTTACCTAAAAGCTGATAACGGAACTCCCTGGTCTTTCCTACAATTATTTTTCTTTCCAAATTTGTTCCTCAACATTATCCCTTTACCTGATATCTCTGTAGTTTCCCTTTTAACATTTTCAGTCAGGTCTTTTTCGTTTCCAGGAACAAATCTTCCTCCTCTTCCTTCACCGACTCCACTTCCAGTTACTTCATTCTTAGAAAAAATGAAAAACACATTTCAACTAAGGGAATAAAAACATTTTGGTACATTTACACTGAGTTTCCCTGCCAAACGAAATTAAAAAAATCTGTGCCCTGCTGTATTTTTGTCAGGAACTTAAATATTACGTTTTTACATGATTGTCCTTAGTTTAGTTTAACAGAAATAAAAGACCTATGCCAGGCACTTTTAAAATAACTTTATATGCTAGTTTATCTAAGGCCATTTTCATTATTAATTTTTTCAGATTTTTGGTTCCCGTATTCTCCGGGGGGTACCTTTATGGTTTCCATGTTTATGGCACCCAGTCCTCCTTTCGCAGACAGGATACCTCGGGCTTCGTCAGTCTCGCAGCAGTCTATAACTGTTTGACCATTCTTGTCAATAAGCTTTGTATCTGCGCCGAGATCTAACAACAACTCCAGCATTTCTTTCAAAATTTCTACTTGTTCAGGTCCTGGTGCAAAAGTAACGGCTAAATGAAGAGGAGTGTTTCCTTGGGTGTTAATGGAATTGACATCACACCCTGCATGTAAAAGTAGCTTCATGGTCTCAACACAGGGAAGCTTACACACACCTCGCAAATTAGCGTCTTTACGAACAGGAGTCTTATACCATACAGCCAAGTGTAAAAGCGTATTTCCTTCACGGGTGCGAGGTTCTAAACACAGAAATCTTTGAAGAAGCTCAATCATGTTGTCATTTTTCATTTCCAAGGAAACTTGAACTTTGGTGTACATCACCAAGAGATATAGAGCATTAAAAAGCAATGTCTCTTGCGCCTTATTTTTGTGCTCTTCTTCGACTTCTCTAGGCTTTAAGTTTTCGGACAGTTTCCTTTTTCCATCGATAAGTTTTTCAAAAATATCCTCGATAGTTTGTGGACTCAAACTGTGACCATTCTGCATCATTTCTGCAATTAGATCTGTGAGGTTTTCAAGATCCTCTGTTTCTGAAACATTGTAATTCATAGTTATCTCCATCGCTCGTGTCCACAAACCAACACAGAGTTCGTACTTCTTAAGATCAGCTAGGACACCTCCTCGGTAACCTATCGGGAACCATAGTAATGTATTGTCAGTTCCAAGGATTCTCTCTCTTATCATGAGTCCCTCTATCTGGATAGCATGATCATCACCGTCTAAGCGAGAAAGTTCCTCAAGAGTTTGACTCTCTGTTCTATTTTGATAAGCCTTCACTGGTTCCATTTTCTTTTTAAGCAAAGGATATGACGGATCCTCATACCTCTCCTCCATTCCTCGCTCCATGAAACTAAACGCTTTTTCAATGTCATAAGCATCAGGATCATTAGCAATGGTGGCTCCAAGAAGCTCAAGAGCGTCAATTCTCTGTTCCTTTGAACATTCTGGTCGGTTGATGAACCACTCCACCATTTCAATTTTACAATCATTACTGGCTTCAAGAAGTGGTGTTAAACGGTTACGATTCTGTGTTTGTTTTGCTCCTAAAGCAAGCAACTTGCAAACTACCTGAACGTGACCCCGTTTCGAAGCATAATGAAGACACGAGCGTCCATCGTCGTCTTGTAGATTTATGTTTGCGCCGTGCTTGACAAGATAGGATGCAACATCTAGGTGGCCGCTGTGACATGTTATCATCAGAGGAGTACTATTGAAATTATTGCGTGCATTTACATCGGCCCCGTTCTCAACCAAACAGCGCACAATATCAAGATGTCCATCGACGGCAGCAGCTCTCAACGGGGTCGAATTGTTCGATGTTCTGCCGTCGACTTCGGCGCTTTGTTCGATCAGGAGTCTCACAACATCAAAATGACCTTTAGCAGCAGCGACCCACAAAGCTGTACAATCCTCTATAGCTTCTCCGTCAATCTTAATCGTTGCACGGGCCTCGATGTTTGCTTCATAACGTAAAAGAACCTTCACAAAATCTAGTTTTCCATCACGAACAGCGATGACGAGCGGAGTGGCAAGGTCGTCTCCATCTTTGATTTTTGTTTCCAGAGTAGCTTTTCGTGACTCGGCGTTCAAATTCTCTAACAAATCAAGCAGATCAGAACCTTCGTCACGATCAGCTTGATAAGCTGTAGTTACTACATCACGAACGGATGCTTTGTTACTCATTTCAAATAACACAAATACAAAACCACTAGATTCTGCTACGCTCAACTTAAACTGTGCGAGCTAAAACAACAAACACATAATTTTTAAGGTCAAAACTTTGCACAGGCAGGTTCCTCGATTTCAGCTGTCACGGTTGAGAAACAATTCATTTTACAGATGTTTGGTTCAGTTTATATGTTGTAGAAAAGAAGCCGGAACGAGTTACTTCATCTCAAAAAAAAGTTTCCTGATACAAATCATGTTCAGAAACCTTTTTATTTTTCTTTATTAAGAAACACTCAGTTGCGTTACATTGTCATTCGTGATGTGCAAGAATTACACCTTGCGATCATAATCTCTTACGGGTGGCCTAAGTCCCAACTATGACATGGATATCTTACATATATCAGAGTCATGGCGAAATTATATGAATCATTCTACGTATGTTAATCACTCGTCCTCCATCTGGAACTGTAACACAAATTTTTTGTCATGGGGGAGGGGAGGAAAGGGGACTCGCAAGGGAGATTAAAGAGGAGAGAAGGAGAAGAAGGAGAATGGAGTTGTGTTCAATTTGAATTCACTTTCTTTTCAACTATGTTGAAAATGTTCGAAGGATTTATGATAAAATTCGTAACTTTTAATCTTCCAGTGCAGCCAGCTGAATCTTTTCCCGGCTTTCCAGCAATTTGGCGATTTAATGTGTTCATGTTGTAAGGTTAAGTAGACTTATATGGACTTATTATTACAAATTTTCGACAATTACACAGGTTTGATGAAAATGACTTATCAATAAACTAAACTAAACATTTCACATTTTCACATCTGTAATGGTATGGTAGCCGCCCCGTTTGATCGATTGATTTTGATGAGATCAGGTTTCTTCAAGAACCTCTCTGTTCTAGATGAAAAAGTTGAGGCGATTGTTCTATCATGCAGTTCTGCTTGCAGATAAATTTATATCTTCTCCACTAAAGACACTTATGTCAAACGGATTTGAAGCCATTTTTATACATCCCCGGTTGTGAAAGAAACAAAGAGCAAATAATTTCTTTAAAACTGATTCATGCTTACCGTCGTAGCAAGGAACTACAATAACGTAAGGTTTTTACGAAATACTAAAATCCAACATCTTAGATGTGGACACCAAGATTTGGACTCCGGAATGTGGAACCCGGAGTAGGAAACAACTAAGACAATTCAAGAATAATAAACTTTCATCTAATTGTCAAAAAACTCCGAAGAAGAAGCTGATACCGGTACAGAGTGTAGCACGGCTCTAAAGAGTGTTCCATTTTTCAGCTGGCCATGCCAGTCCTACAAGTACAAAGAGAAGTTTTTCTTGGAGAAGACAAAAGTTTGTCAGGTGAATCGCCCTTTACCAAATGAGAGGCCTCCTTAGGGGGGAGTGGGATCTGAGTATCCCATACCCGACTAATTTTTGGCCAAAATATCCCGTGTCCCGTTAATTCTTGTGGTTCGTATCCCTATAATGCCAGTTACCATGATGACGTCATTCAGCGTGATATGTTTAGGTACCTGATAACGAAAAATATATATTTTCCTGGGGCGTTTCGCATTTCAAATAGAAATTACGTGCAAATAAGAAATCACGTTTATCGATGGTATGCTCTTATGCAACATTCTGTAAAGAATTGCTAAAGGACGGAGGTGAATTCAAAGCAATTAGTAATCGGGAAATTTAAAGTGGCGCAAAATGGAAAAAGCCGTGGGGGAGGGGGAGAGTTGTTGTCGGACAAGAGCCGATATTGGCACCTATTGCCAATATTGACAATATTTGATGGCAAAATGTAAAAAAATCGCATTTGAAAGTATTTTTTTTCACTATTTGCACCTTCTATATTGACTTATACACTTATTTTATTTTTTAAAAAAATGAGAACTTCGATCTTCGTTATCCCAGAATCTTTTTTTAAATATCTCGTATCCCTTTAATTTTCCACCCAAATATACCGTATCCCTTTAATTTTTTACCCAAATATCCTGTATGCCGATAACCCCCAATATGGCCTCAAAAGGGAAACCGGAAAACCATGGAACTGAACAAAAAGGTGAGGTATTAACGTATTTAGTATCAAATCTTGCCCCAATCCCCCAGACTTAACCTCCCGCCGAGTGTCCCCTGAAAGCCGCTGTACGTCAATAGCCATTTTCATTTATTCGATTGCTCATCAAACTTTACTCACAAAGCATGGCTCACAGGTTTTGTTCTGTGTTACGAACGATCAGCAGAGATTCCCGAATATTTCTCTACCGCCAAAAGCTTCATTTCAGCCTTATCTTAGTATCACGAAACATGGTAAGCTATGAATTTTGAAAAGCCATCGCGTTCGTGCGAAACGCGGGAGATATTATTCTTCTACAAATTGCGTGCGCTTCTTTTTAATTTTGTTGGAAACGAATGGCTTTCCATTTGAGGAAATGGTTTAACTGTCAAATCGAATAAATGCCTCGTTTGATATATTTATTTTCTTCCTTCTTGTGTCCTGTCATGTTGAAAATATTTCGTTATCATAGTGAGAAGTTTCCTCTCGGTCACTCCTGGGAGTGATAGAGTTAAGTATATTTAATAAAAATACTTTTTTTTAATTTCTGGCCAACAGGCTTCAAGAATTGAGACTGACAGTTTTGGAGAAATAGAAGTTCCAGCTGATAAATACTACGGAGCCCAGACAGCGAGATCAAAACTGAATTTTCCTATTGGCGATGAAACTGAACATATGCCGGTATGTTGATCTGATCGTACCTCTCTTATAACTGACATCTCATTCTAGAGTATATTGTATATATTACTTTAGACCAATGAACTTTTTCCAGAGCATACCTTTTACTAACCTAGTTCGGGGTCTGTATAACAAGTTACAGACAAAATTTTGTTCTGCTTATATTTGTGGCCCAAGCACAAATCAGGTCATAAAATTAAGCAGAAAAACCTAGGTTCTATAACTTACAGTACGGACTAGGAAACGAGGTTAGTAAGATATTGATTATCTATAGGTTCTAGTAGAGGGGAAGGTTTTTAATTTAAACAAACTTTTGAATTTAGCAGGTTTTGCAGTAAAATGTGACCTGCAAAATTGACCAAACATTGCCTATGTACTAACTGAAAGATCTAATAATGAATTCTCACTTCTCCAATGTTAGTAAAAGTATTACTTTAAGCAATTGTCTGTCCAGGAACACTTTTCATCAGTTAACAAGAATGGTTCAGAGAAAATGTAAAAAAAAAGCTAGGGAATATTTTTTAACCATGAGCTATTACATTGTTGAGCATTATTCAACAAAATGTAATAATGGAAAATCATTTGGTTACTGGTAATTCTCAGTGTATTGTTGTTTTTGTCTTTTTTCTGATAGGCTCCAGTGATTCGTGCATTTGGTTTCTTGAAGAAGGCAGCTGCAGAGGTCAATAAGGAGTTTGGTTTGGATGCAAATGTTGCTGATAACATCACGAAAGCAGCAGATGAGGTTGGAAACATTGGATTGACCCTTCAACCCCTAAGAGGGACTAACATCTAATTTCTCCTTATAATGTCACACTTGAATTACACATTAAGGTGATGAGAATAAAAGAAATGATCACCAAGTAAAGAAGTTCTCAATTATTAACAAATTCTCCTTGTCAGCACCTCAGGAAATGTATATAGAGATTAGTATGGAGAATATATATATTGATGTTGGAGAATATATGTATTGATGGTTAATATGGTCGTGGAATCTAAATAATATTGAAAAGGTGAAAACTTCATTCAGTACCCCCTGGGTTTGGGTTTTGGGTTGGTAATAGGGTTGATTTCTTGTGCAAGACACGTAGCTGTCACAGTGAATGACATCAAGAATGATGTCAAAGTGCAAAGTTCTCATAAATTTTGAGGGGCTACAAATCTCTCTCAATGACTTGATTCATTTAGTGGCTTACTCTTCAGAATGTTCCCGTGATTTCAACGAACTTTGCAAAGGGAAAGTTGTTGTTGTTGTTTCTCAAGAGTTTTTCCCAGAATCACAGTAACCAATAAAAATAGCTCCTCTATGTTTTGATAACAATATTTTTCTCTCTGATTACAGAACTCTAATGACACATTTCCAAGAGCAATGCATATAGCAGCAGCAATGGAGGTGCATGAGTGTCTGTTACCAGGACTAAGAAAGCTTCATGGTGCACTTCAGGCTAAGAGCACAGATTTCAAGGATCTTGTTAAGATTGGTAGAACACATACGCAAGTGAATTATCTAATCTTGTGTCTTAACAGACCACAATCATGCCACATGCTAATAACCTTCTACAGCTCAGTGGAAATCCTCAGAAGTTTGATGCTTTCTCTCTCTTTGTTTATCAAAAGCAGTTATTATTTGGCATGTTGCTTCTTGTAGTTAAGAATTTTTTTATTTATTTTATTGCTTTGTACCTTATTTTAAGGAAATGATGTACCTTAAAGCCAAACAAATTTTATTAGTCGGCCATCATGTTTTGGGGAAAAAAGTACTTTCTTTATTTTAATCTAAGCTTCTAAACATGGCTTATTACTAGCTACCAAAATATGCAATATTCACTTTTTTATCTTCTGTTTCTTTTAGTGCACCAAAAAAATTTGAAGCCCTTGCAGCTCATGATGCCATGGTAGATCTTCATGGAGTACTAAATGTGATTGCTTGTAGTTTGATGAAGATTGCAAATGATATCAGGTTTTTAGGCTCAGGTCCTCGCTGTGGATTGGGTGAGCTGATGCTTCATGAGAATGAATCTGGAAACAGTATCATGCCAGGTAACAACACAATTCATAACACTAAAGTACTGAACTGTTTCATTCATACAGAATCACAGTGTTCTCTGAATCCTGAGCATGTATGTTAGCAGTGGTCACTCTCTAATGGCTACAGAAAAACCCTTAACATTACTCTAACCCTATTTCTTGTACAGTGTGCATGTATCAGTTTTTTCCCTAATGCTCTTGACCCCCTAGAGGCAAACTGAAAATGTTTTGCTTATCTTAGGTGATGCACAGAGCACTTTCCTCTGATGTCTTGTTAACCCACAATCAAAGTTATCACAACAGAAAATCAGAAGAAAGGAAAATATCCTGAAGAACCAATGAAAACTCAAAGTGAAAACAAGCAAACTTCTTAAACATAAGAAAGTGGGTGTGGCCAACTTGTAATTGATTCAAGTTTGGCATCTAATTGGTTAAGTGGCACAGGTTATCTAGATCAATTACTGAGGGAAGTAATCTAAAACCAATACAATCCTGGCTTGCATTTGACACTCCTCGAAAATTGAGTATTGAATGTAATAAGAACTTGTTTACAAGTTTCCTGTTTTGTATAACTAGGCAAGGTAACCCAACGTAGTGTGAAGCCATCACTATGGTCACAGCTCAAGTCATGGGCAATCAAATGACTATGTCAGTTGGTGGAAGTAATGGTCATTTTGAATTGAACATCTTTAAGCCAATGATAATCAGAAATGTTCGGCAGTCAACACAGCTGATGGGAGATGCCTGTGTAGCCTTTACAGATAACTGTGTTGTGGGAATTCAAGCTAATGTGGATAGAATCAACCAGTTGCGTGACGAGTCACTCATGTTAGTGGCAGCATTGAACCCTCGTATTGGTTATGACAATGCCGCTAAGACTGCAAAGAAAGCTCACAAAGAAGGCACAACTTTGAAGGAAGCTACTATAAGCCTGGGATTGTTAACAGAAGAGCAGTTTACTCAGTGGGTGAGACCAGAAGACATGCTAGGACCAAAGTGAAAAATATTTAACATTGGTGGGACATGAGATGGAGCAACATAAAAACCTCATGTTTTCAACTCATTCTTTCCAACTTTTACTAGGTTTTAAGACAATTTAACAATTTGAGCAAGTTATCAAGTTTACAACTGAGCTAATTTCAAAGCATTTGCCATGAAACTTCTTTTGGAATCCAGATGCAGTATTGGTAGTCCATTTAATTTAAATACAATACATATAGATGTACATGTACATGTTGTTCTTGAAATTAAATGCCCACTATTCCAGTGCAGTGAAATTACGCAAAGGGGTGATTTTCAAAATTTAAGTACCTGGCTGAAAGTTGCACAAAAAGAACACCTCCCAGAAACATAATGTGTTTAATTAGGCCAAGCTGTGTTGTGGATTTGGGATGTATTTTAATTGTTATTCAGCAATTTGTGAAAATACAGCAGCAGTGACTTGGTAATAAGGCAATAAATTAAATTTTCTGTTTCATCAACCAAGTTTTTCATCTGTTTACAAAGATGTTACAAATGGAAAATGCATTTACTTTTCTAGTTCTGTTCTCACTTGTACTTCAGAGCATTTTTATCATTTAACCTTGTTTTAAAGCAGAGTTTCAGGGTTACCACAAAGTATCCCAAACAGGGTGTCATTATGGAGTGGAGGCCTTTACCAGGGTATACATTCATGGTGGTAGGTCCATGTGTGGTAATGTTTAATCTATCCCTCCCCCTATCACTGGGATCTTATCCAAACTGACTTTCTACTTGCTTAGAATACCACCATACATATATAACCACAGAGTGCTATGGAATGTACTTTGTGCAGAAGGATGGTTTTTTCTTTATACTGAGTTGGCTCCAAAAGATAACAGTACCATATCTGTACTCTATTGGGAGCAAAGGTACAAGCATACATTTTGCATTTCAGGATTGCAACACAGGATAATGTGTGCACAAGACCCTCCTGAAAGTGACATTCACATTTTATTGATTTATGTTTCTTCCTCAGCTCACAGGAAAGTTAGTTATTGCCTTCTATTTTTCTTGCCCACAAAGAAATTATCTTCCTGTGCTGTTACTGGTCATTACTGGCATCATCTGAAAGCCCATTGTAAAGTACTCTTATACTCGAGGTGCAGTTTGAACAACATACAATGTTGTGTCCATTTTCCAAATCACTCTCTCATCACATACTCTCCACTGCAGCAACACACACTTGATTAACTCTCTGAATCTGAAACAAAGTAAAATAATTTTCACTTGGCAGGTGCACGGTATGCACTGTGTTGCAACTACAAGTAGTGCAGACATTTTCATAATATTAAATGATGCATCAAATGACCAAACCTAATGGGTTATTTACATAAGGTCCAAACCATACCAAGGTTTTACGCAATCAGTGGGTCTCGGGCCTTCTCTGCAAGAGGGTTGATTTTATTAAATAGGTGTCCCTCCTTCAGCTTTCAGCCCTCTTGATGCTGTTCATAACAATAAATGTCCAGATAAAAGGTTCAGCTAAACTAAGGATTGTTTAGGAAACAGTTTTCTTGACCAACAGCTAAGCTTTGTTTATAAATAAATAATCAGTCCAATGAGATGTAAAACATACAGAATAGGGTACTAAAGACATTTACAAAGAAAATACTTCTGCAACAGTATTTTGATCCATTTACTCTGCCTGCCTTTCCCCCACCCCATCTCTCCTTAAATGTACGGTGGCCCATAGAGGACATGCCACTTTTTTTTATCGCGCGATAAATGATAACTTATCTTGCAATACTTCTGCGACACAGCTCTGTGAATCAGTACAGTAAAACTTGATTTTGCAAGAAAGAACTTTCCATCTGTTGCAGCCACTGTCGTCTCGTTCAGGAAAACAACGTGCGTGACAGCCGATCACGAGCGACCTAACAAGTCCTATTTAACGCACGAATTTTTATTTTATTATCGCGAGATTAAAAAGATTTATCGCGCGATAAAAAAAAACAATTGTGCCACCGTAGGGCCACTGTATCTATGGGCCACCGTAGTACCTAGCTAAAGAACTCACAATATCAAGACGTCCATCGTACGCAGCAGTCCGCATGGGAGTCAAATTCGTTGCATTTCTGCCATCAACGTCTGCGTTGTGATCGATTAACAGTTTCACAACATCTAGATGACCAGTAGCAGCAGCGGCCCACAAAGGAGAGCAACCTTCAACGGCTTCGTCGGTGTTGGCTTTCACAGTTCTCGTGCTTCGATATCTGCTTTGAAACTTAAACGAATCTTTACAGCGTCTAGGTTTCCATTTCGAGAAGCAATTATGAGAGGAGTTGCATTCTCGTTGCCATCTTTGGTCTTGGAACCGAGGGCAGTTTTCCTTTCTTCACTGTCGAGCCGCTTTAAAAGATTAGTCAGATTAGAAGATCCATCACGAGCAGCTTCATAAATCTTTTGTATGGTGGATTGCTTATTACCCATTTTTCGCTACACCTAAGCGGGACTTTCCGTCTCCTCCAAGGTTTCCATGAAAGAAATTGTATTAGTGATGGAAAAAACAAACGCCAGAACTTTTTTAACCTCGCGACCTAGTCTCCAAGACAAGCATTTGTAAACTCAACCGTCACGCTAACGTATTTACTGATCAGATGGGCTGAAGCCGATATGTCATTCCATTCCTTTTGAAAAAGAGGTAGTTATTGCCTCATCCGAGTGAAGGACCCGAATACGAATTATTTTCGTAATCGTTTATGTATATTAAAAAAACAATGATGTTACACTGTTTTTCTTAATATACATGATCACTAATAAATTTCGCAACCGTATTATGCTAAATTTCCACAAGTTGTCAATCACTTATCCTGTTTGGGAAAACAGGAAGTCTGAAGCGTATCTTCTGTTTCGAGGAGGGGAGGAAGAGAAATTCAAATATAATTTTTAAAAGGCATCCTACTTCATTTTATTTCTATCTTGATCGCACTGCAAACAGTCTTTGCAGTGTGCACTTAAAATTGTTTCACTTTCGACTGAGGAATATAACTGTACTATCAAGTTATTGCTGTCTTTGCTATTTATAGACAATTTATCTATGCCGGATTCATATGTACATAATAGCGTAACATATGATCTTAACACTGAGGTTACCTGTAAATCACACAATAGTCTCAGGTCTCTTTATAACTTCTAACGACGTTCGAAAAGGAAAGAATCAATCCCAATCAAAACACAGAAACACCAGCTAAATAATCTCAATTAAGTCTACTGGCTAATCAGCAGGATGTTAATTATCATCCCTGATATATCATATCATTGTGCGATTGCCCTTTTTTACTTCATCAGGCTACAATTCATACCCAGTGTGTAGTCTACAACTGCATTTTCTACCTAGTCTAGAGTTTATACATAGAATGCACTTTACAAAAAAGCTGCTAATCGATCATATCAAAGTCTCATTGCTGAGGCACTTTGTTGCAAACCTGTATTATTAAATTTAAAAGCCGTGTAAACGCTAATGGAAGGAATTATATTTTTTTACTAGCACTTCAAATGCTTTTTAAACATCTTTCAAATGCCAAATTTTACTTGGATTTTAAATTTCACACACAATAAAAGTTAAAACCGTATGAAGACTGTGACTAAATTTTACCATTGGGAGCCGCTGAATACTCGAAAAAATATTCTAGTCATAAAATACCTCTTCTTTTTTTTTACCTGAATCACCTTCGGGAAAGAACTAACGGTGACTCAACCTAAAAAACTGACGGAAGATGGTCGTAGCGATCAGACACGTATGCATACTAAAAAGCCCGAACACTTCCTAAAAACTAAAAACTGTACCAACTGAAAAATTAGATTAGGTATTATTTTGGAAAAAGCCTTTTAAATAAGCCATTATAGATCTTAGGTTTGCGTGCTACTTTCTTTTTCGATCGCAAGTGTGAATAAAAGAGCAGATCTTGTCAAAACTAATCTAACATTGATTGTTCTAGTTCACCGATGATGTCTTCCATGCTGGGTCTCGCTTCAGGAGCTCGTTTCAGACATCTCCGGATGAGAGCTCGCAGTGTTCGATTTTTCACCATGGCAACTTGCTCGTCGCGTCTGTCAGGATCTGGTAGTTTCCGGGTGCAAATCTCACAGAGGAGAACTCCGAAACTGTACACATCAACCTATGCTCGAAAACAAAATTACAGTTTAAAAAAAAATTTATAGTACACCTAAGTTCATTATCAATGGCTGCAAAAAGGTTTAAGTTTGATATAAGTGTTCTTGCTACTTTGAGACTATTTATGTCTAATCTAGTTCGCCACGTAGGAATGGTGCCTCGTTGCTGACCCATAGAGAAATCTAGTCTAGCTCTACAGTGGGGCATTCTAAAAGCAGAAGATTTAGGCTCGACTCTTCTCAAGAAGTCGAAGTTCACTTTTTCTTATTAACCTTGTTTCTGGCATGTCTTATCACGAGTTCCCTTAAGACTATAGACTATACCTAAAGCACACGAGCGGTTACCCAGGAAAAGGGTTTAATCGCATTCAAAGAACAGACAATTTTTATCCCGCCCAGTCGACAAACTGATTTAACTTCTTATTATAAAAACACTTCACCAGACTGTTTACTGTAAACACAAATAAACAATTCAGAAATATAACCCAAATATACAAATGTACACATACCTTGGCAGTTTGACTCTCTGTAAGTGCCTCAGGAGCACTGTATATCCTAGAACCAGGACAAGCCGTCATAATGTCTCGCTTGAAATTAGCCGTGCCATAATCCGAC